GAGATGGACCTGTTTGAAGAAAGAAAACCAAGGAAACAGCAGCCGTTAGCTTTCTACTCTCAACGAAGGAACGACAACAACTACAACCAAAGCGGCAAGCAAGATCAACGCGACAACAGAGGACTCGCCATTGTGCCGCCGTTTTGCCACAACTGTCAAACATCCGGACACTCCAAAGTCAACTGCACACGCCCCCGAGCTTATCGTCCAGTAGACCCACAAGTCGCTTCCACTCAAGAAAGTCCGCCAAGGCGTTCCTCCACATCTGCACAAGGCACACCGAACATCATCAATTGCATGGTACGCATCGACAACTGCGCACCCGGATCACCACCTACTTACGCCCCAAACGAAGAAGAAGAACTGTCGCCGCCGCGCTCACAAGGACTTCAGGTCAACCCAACGTACGCTGCAGTCGCCAACGCCGAACCCACCGGGCGAAACACTTGGTTCTTGGACAGCTGTTGCGGCCAGCATATGTGTTCTTCCGGTCGCTTCGTACAACGAGAGCGGCGTCTCAACCATGATGTCATCATCACTGTCGCCAACAACGAGAACCTGAAAACAAACAGACAAGGCGTCGTTCAGCTTCAGTCAATGGAAACGAACGTCATCCTGCAACTCAACAAAGTTCTAATCGTCGACAACTTGGGATACAACTTACTCAACGTCAGCCAGTTGATGGCAAAAGGGATTCACCTGGAATGCGACTCGGACTCCAACGAATTTTGCCTTTACCACGGGAAGGGAGGCCTCTTCATCGGTCGCGCTCTCCTGAAGTCGGGCGTCTTCGTGTTGGATTTCGTCCCTGACCGCGGTACTGCCGACAATGATGGTATCGTGTCGTTCGCCGCCTGGACGCACCCGCCGGATCTTGACCAAGACTTCACCCCAGACGGATTCTGGTACTCCAACACCATACCTGCAGCAGAGAGAACACGAGCGTTAGCAGTCATTCGACAAGAAAGACAAGTACCAGCAAGCGCTCCTTCACCGACATCGCCTGCAGTAGCAGCAGCAGGACCCAGCCGAGTACCATCATCAGCAATCCGAGGACCGCCAATCGAAGCAGATCAACTTATGCCCATCACACGAGAAGTCTGCCGAAGTCCCGTCACGGTCGTCGAGTTCTTCTCCCACGCCGACATGTACCAACGCTCGCCCGGCCATCGCGCTCCCGACGACATCTGGCACCAACGCCTCGGGCATCCTGCAAACAGTACAGTTCTACAAACAATCCAAGCTAGAGTATTAGAAAAAGACGCTCTCCTCACAACGAGCGGACAAGAGCTTCGACGACCTTGCGCCCGATGCTTGACGTGTCCTGAAGCCGATCTTCCACACCAACCCTTTCCGTCGCATCACAATCCAAGTGCACCTGCATACGCACCGATGGAAAAGGTTTACAACGACATCCTAAATATGCCGCGAGACGACAGTGAAGCAGACTTCAACTATGTCATCACGTTCATCGACGCAGCAACAAGATACGTCTGGCACTACAACCTCAAGACACGCGATCAAGCATTCGAAGCCTTCACGACGTGGCTCCCCATCGCTGAACGAGAATCAGGAACTCAACTCAGGAGCTTCCAGACAGACGGGGCACTGGAATACCAGTCACAATGATTCAGGAACTACTTGGCGGAAAGAGGAATCAGACGCCTGGTGTCTCTGCCCTACGCTCACCAGCAGCAAGGGGTCACAGAAAGAATGAACCGGACCTTGCAGATGACGATGCGGAAGCTGCTCCTGGGGATGAGACTGCCCAACACGCTTTGGCCTGACGCGATGACCCATGCAGTTCACCTGCACAATTTGTTGTCCTCGTCATCACTTCCCAACAACGCATCCCCGCACCTGCTGTGGACGGGAAAACAGGGCAGCACAAAATTACTTCGAGTCTTCGGCTACATGGTACAGTACAGACCCCACACAGCACGCGCAGGACGATTCTCTCGACGAGCACGATAGGGACTACACCTCGGCATCGCAAAACATTTCCAAGCATGGAAACTTCTCGACATACGAGACACAAACACCGTGGCCTCACGTGATGTGATTTTCTACGAACGACTGACGCTGCAGCATTACCTGGACAACATTGCAAACTCAGAAGATCCCACCGACGGCTTCACGGGACTTCGCTCATTCGCCGACCGTGCTGCCGAGGCTGACGCAGCAGAAGAAGACGTACCGGTTGCTTCGGAAGCTGTCGGACCACTCCCTTACTGTTCCGTACCAGTTCCACTCGACGACGACCATCCTCTCGATAGTACCAACCTCGACACCCATTACTACTTCGCTGACCAAGGTTACGTTACACCACAACCTGTCGACACGAATGTCTCAGAACGCATCGGCCCAAACTTCTTACCAGATCCAGAAGATGGTGACGAAGTAGCCTAATCCGGGAATGAAAATTCCCCTCGACACACACCCACGGGCCTGTAGATACTCGGATTATGGGGCCGCCGCCGCCGCCGTCTCCGCGCAAGCCAACGACTCTGTCGCAGGCTCTGGGGGGGGAACACAAGGCGAAATGGAAGGAAGCAATGGAAAAAGAACTAAAGGCCCTCCAAGACCGAAACACGTGGAAGCTGGTACCTGCAATAAAAACCAACGGAAAAAACGTGCTCTCGGGAAAATGGGTGTACCGCATCAAGACTAATGCGGACGGCTCCATCGAACGATTCAAGGCTCGCTGGGTCATTCGGGGATTCGATCAGCGATACGGAACCGACTACAGAGAGACATTCGCCCCAGTCTCCCGTCACACTTCTTTGCGCATTCTACTCGCCGTCGCGGCCACGAAGAAGCTACCACTGCGCCAGATCGACGTTGCAAACGCCTTCCTGTACGCACCGGTGGACGCCGAGATCTTCGTCGAGCATCCCCACGGATTCATCGACGACCCCACAAAAGTGTGCCAGCTGATGAAATCCCTCTACGGGATCAAACAAGCCCCGCGGCTTTGGCAGCAGCACCTCCACGGCTGCCCCATCAAGATCGGCTTCCTACAGCTGCCGCGACCAAGGCATGTACCGACTACAGAAGAAAAAGGGGTTTATCCTACTCATCGTCTACGTCGACGATCTGCTCTACATCAGCTCCACTACCGACATCGCCACCTGGTTCGAAGGGGAGCTAAGAAGTGACTTGACACTCACGGCGTCTAACACCGTAACCCTGTACCTGGGTCTGAACATCGTCGAAGACAACTCGGCACTCTACCTGTACGCTGCGTAGTACGCAGGCACTGTCGTGAAGGAATTCGGATTAACGCCGACTACAGTCACGACTCCCTACCGCTACGGGAACTACAACGACACCTCCGCAAAACTCCCCGCGAAGCAAATCCAGGAGTATCAGGAGAAGCTCGGCTGTCTACTATTCGCAGCAGTAACTTGCCGACCGGACCTATCTTACAGCGCGAGCCAACTAGCGACGCATCTAAAGCAGCCGGAACAAGAAGATCTCGAGGAACTAAATCGGGCACTACTCTACTTCGCCTCTACGCCGACGGCTGGACTTACCTACAGTAAAGCAACGACATCGTCCGTACAACTACTTGGATACGTCGACGCCGACCATGCAGAAGACAGGGAAAATCGACGCTCAAGGACGGGCTACATCTACCGACTAGAACCTATCGGGACCATCTCCTGGCAGTCGAGCAAACAGGAACTAATCGCATTATCTTCGGCCGAAGCAGAATATATCGCCCTCTGCACTGCGACCAAGAAAGGACTCTACCTGCGAGAGTTGCTCGAGGAAGCAAAGATTACAACCCTGCCCTTCTTCTCACTCTTCTGCGACAACCAATCTGAGATCAAAATCGCAAACAAAGACGGTTTCGCCAACCGAACCAAACACATCGCCCTGCGGTATTTCTTCGTCAAAGATGAAATCGCGAAGGGAAAACTTCAACTCAGTTACTGCCCCACGACAGAAATGGCTGCAGACTACCTGACGAAGAAACTGGCAAAAGCAAAGTTCGATTACTGCATGCTACTGACCGGGCAGATAAACGTCGCCGAATCTGGACACGCCAGCACTCCAGAAACGAAGGGGAGTGTTGGAAATACCTCAAGGACTTAAGCGTTTATGAAGTGTAACACTACACTCGAGGAAAGTCGTAACGGGTACGCGAGTCAACTGAGGTTGCACGAGGGGATGGACAAAGAACACGAAAGGACTCAAAGGGTCGCAACCGGAGGTTGCGACTGACCGTTACAACTGCAAGGATGGTAACAGAACCGACAATCGAGTCGCTGTGCGACTCGATTAACCGCTCTTTCAACTGTATTCTACAACTACTTTACTCTCCTACTTTCTATATATTGCTGTACGCTTGTTCTCATAATTAATCACTTGTTCTCACATACTAGTACAAATGTTCAACTACTCAACTTCCGCTGCACTACTCAAGCATCTCTTACAATTGGTACTCAGTCTCTGGAAAGATCCTAAGGGCTTTTATCAGCCCAACAGTGGTGATGATGGCTGGTATCCATCTCTCTGACTCCCACGAAATCATCATACGCAAATATTTGTCGGTGACTAAACTACGTACTAACTAAATACCCAATTTGGTAATGAAGCATTAGTGTTCCAAACACGTTTTGGTCAGTTCACTGACTCTCAGCACGTACGTTTTGTAGAAAGTGCCCGGTGGCCAGTTGTTGGCTACTCGGACCAGCGTTGACTTGACTCGAGTAAACCCCCGCGAGTTTCCCCCCTGAGTTTACGCCAATCTCGCACCAACCAGGGGTTTCACTCGCACCAATCTCCAGGAGTTTTGTGCGTGTCGCTCACGCCAAATTGTGTTCGTTACTTTGCTTCGCCAGTCTTCGCTTTCGCCTCTCCCGCTTTGAAACACCGAACCCGAGTTCCATTACCTTTCGTCGCAGCAGCGCAACACATCGCACGCAGCGCGCGGGCCGCAACCCTGGAAAAATATAAATCAGTTGCCAGGAATTTCGCAAAGCACGTTCAGCAACCCTTCCCTCCAGGTTTTAGTCCATCCCCTCCCTCTGCTCCTGCTCCAACTCACTCGACTCCAACTCACACAAAACCAGCTGCTAGCTGGTAGCATCAGAATCAAGTTCTACGGTTTAGTAGCCCTCGGAAACTCATACTCAGCGTGCAAGTCATCTTCAAAGAATCCTTTATTCAATCCTCTCCGCTCTGCAGACTTGCAAAAATGGTGACTATGGCGAAACTGCAGGTCGTCCTAGCGGCCCCAAGCGCAGTTCTCTCTCTTATAATCGGCACAGCACTGCTGACCACCATGTTAGTACCGGTGCCACCTGGACGAGCCGCTATGCCGCTTCAGACAGCCATGCGGTTTACTGGGAGTCATCTGACCAACCTGAGGGTAATCGTAACCCTAATGGGTGTACTACTCGCGAGCTGCACCAATTTGTCCGGGTGCCTCCGAGCCACCAGATTCACAGACGGAGCAGCAGCTCTGACAATGATGGTGCTGACGTGTGTGGTAACCAGCAAGAGGTTTCGACTCCGCGTCGAGAATGCAAAGTCTCTGAAGGCCTTCTATTAAAAGGTGGGGTGGCACGTACAAGGCTGGGTGCTGCCACTGAAGGCTGCAATGTGCTGTCGCAAAAATCAGGGACCCAGTTTCGGTAGCGATTTCTTCGTCACGCGAACAGTAGGCGAGATCGCCTGCACAAATCGTAGATTTCAACTTATCGAATTGTATACACTGTAATTCAAATATGTTTGTCTATACTTGAAAATTAATATTTGTGGTTCTTTTATATAGTTCAAGGGCTATGCTTCTTAGAGCACAATTTCTGCAAACTTGACAGGCTTTATCCTAATCACTTCATCGAATTATACTTTGCTTAAGGAGAACAAGGTTGCACATTTAGTCAGAATCAATCAAAGAGATAATCATTCAGCAGAAACATGCCACGCCTCTCAAAGGACTCTACAACATGGACGGCACAATAGATGGTGTCCACATCAACAATGTCCCGGTGCAACCTCCGAGTCCCGGGGAATGTTGCCCACTTGAGCGCCTTACAACCTGTCACGCCGTCATCCCTAACCTGCTCATAGTACTGGACATAGGCATGGCTCGGGAAAGCTGCCTTCAACTTGACGAACATCCTGCGGGGGGAGAGAAGGGGGGGGTGGGACGATTGTGATTGGGGGGGTTGGGTAATGGGTTTGAGAAGCTGTCACCAACTCAGCCAGAAAGAACACACCCAAACGATTAAGGCGAAGTGCCTTGCATAGAGGATATGGGCGGCAACTGAGAGGACATGGCCGGGACAAAGAGGAAATAGGCGAAAACTGAGGTTATGGGCGGAAACAGAGGATATGGGCAGGAACTAAGTGGATATGGGCGGAAAATAGAGGGTATGGACTGAAAAATTAGGATAAGGGTGAAGGAATGCTAAAGCGAGAGCGTTTGGGAAAGTGTGGAGCGATTCCGACAGAGTGACACTATTTGAATAGCGTGCTAGGCGCTGGTGGCAATTCACTAGAGTACTTGGTCGAAATTCGAGTAGAGTAGAAGTTCACTAGAAACATATATATCCAAAGTACAAAGAAGCATGCAAATATATAGGCAAGTGCAAACCCAACCAAAGTTGCGTGGCGCTGCGGTGGTAACCAACCACCCCGAAGTTGCAAAAGGGTTGGGCGAACGCGCCTCGCCCAATTCTCCAACCCAACTCAGCAAGGTTGGGTTTGCCGTGTACGCAACTCCAACCAGCAAGGCGAACACTGCCTTGCTGCTCACGAAAAACCATCGCGATAGCCACGACTACTTATGACTCGTCAGAGTCACTGGTCGTCGTGAGCATCTCCGGACTAGTCTGCACAAACTAGACATAGTCTTCGGATGCAATGGTTAGTCCATGCACCTTGATCACGCCAACCCGCAGCTGCCAGGCAACTGGTGCACCGACATAAGTCGGTCAACGCCTGGCTGCCCGCAGCTGCAGTAGGGCTTCCAACACTCCCCTGCACTACTATAGCAAGGCCCTTTATAATCACAGGGCATACACATACAAGCATACAAGCCAAAAAGGAACACAAAGCACACACGCAAGGGTCCTATGCATCAACTGTACGCTTGCCATATTTCTTCATCTGAAACACACACCGCACCAGCCATGGATAGGCCATGGCACCATCACAAGCAGAAACCTACGAAGAGCCAGAAGCGTATGCACAGATACGCTCATAGTCACGGAATGCTGCCAATGCACGTTCCTCGTACTCACCCCAGCCTTTCTCCTTCCTTCCACGCCTCATGCTCTTCATTCGCTTCCTTGGACCAGCATCACAGCGATGAATACAGAAAGGGCTTGAAGTGAAGGCCATCGCATGTGTCCTTACTTGTCCCACTGTATCAAAGCAACGGGAAAAGGCTGGGAAATGTAACGCTTTAGTAAGATAGTCAGCAGGTTGCTCGCTGGTAGGGATGTACTGCAGGTCCAGCTTCCTACGCTTGACCATGTGCTGCAGCCACATGTGACGCCGCTCCATGTACTTGAGACTCCCCTTGAGCCCCATGCCATCTGCCACAGCAATCGCAGACGAATTATCGACAAAGAGCGTCGTCGGCTCCTCACACTTGAGCAGCTGAAACTCTGCCAGGAGGAAGCGCAGTCTGCGAGCCTCCTTCCCTGCTTCAACTGCCGCAATATACTGTGACTCAGTAGAGGAGAGAGTGACGCAACAAATCCTCTGACTCGCCCAAGCAACTGCAGCACCGCCAAACACAAAGACGTAACCCCCTGTGCTGCTTCGGTTTTGCTTGTCTCCTACATCATCAGCATCTGCGTACCCTATCAGCTCCAAGGACGCTGGACCCCCATTGAATTCCAAGGCTGCATCCTTGGTCCCCACCAAGTAGATCAGGCACCGCTCCAACTCCTTCCAGTGCTGATCACTGCGCACTGTCTGTCCTGACCCCAGCTTACTGCATGCGAAAGCGATGTCAGGGCGTGTGGTACAGGCAGCAAACTGCAAGGATCCCACCTTCTGCCGGTACTCCTCCTCCTGCCTGGTCTGCCATCCCTCATCCTCAAATGTTAGCTCACTGAATGGGTCGGAGGAGAGAGGGGTCCGTGGCATACGTTGAGGCAGCTCCCCTGCCAAAAAGCGCCGCTGCACCTTCTCCACGTAGGCCGACTGGTGCAGCCACAGCTTCCGGGAGGGCCTATCGCATATCAACTGCAACCCCAAGTATTTCTCGATGGGGTTTATCTCTCTCAGCTGAAATGCGCCCTGCAGTAGCTCACGCAGCTCCCCCAGCAGGTCCATACTGCAGCTAGCCGCTAGCAGGTCATCCACATAGACAAGCAGCCAGCACATCTCACCCCCTTCATTGCTCTTGAAGTAAAGAGCCTCATCCACTTGGCTCTTGCACCATCCAGCCCCAAGCAGCACCCCATCCAAGGCCTCATACCAGAGCATCGGGCTCTGCTTGAGTCCGTACAGGCTCTTCAGCAGCTTGCAGACACGAGGAGTCCCATCCTCGTAATACTTGGGTTGTTCCATGTAGAGATCTCTGTCCAGCACACCGTGAAGAAATGCGTTCTTCACATCCAGCTGCATCAGCTCCATATCCAATGCCGCTGCCACTGCCAGCAGTATGCGCGCTGTCACGTAACTCCCCACAGGCGCATAGGTCTCCTCATAATCCACTCCTGCCACTTGAGTGAACCCTTTGACCACCAGCCTCGCCTTCTCTCGCTCCACACGTCCATCCGGCCGGTACTTGGTGTTCAGGATCCAACGATTCTTCATGATGTTCACCCCAGGAGGTGGTGTGACGAGTTCCCAAGTCTCCTGCGCGAGTAACGTCCGCATCTCCTCATCCATTGCCTCTTTGACACGGTCGCCTTTCCAGCACCCCAACGCCTCAGGCACTGTCCTCTTCCCAATGTCCCACTGTCTCTCCGGGTCTGTCTCCACATCCGGATCAAGCTCAGTCCACTCCTCATCCTCGTCGGCATCATCCAACCCCGGCTCAACCACCACTGCCCATGCATAACGAACAGGCGGAACTCCCCTCGTAATGCGGGTAGAGCGACGCAAGTCTGGAGTAATGGTTCCTGAAGCCAATACGCGACTGCCACTCCACTCTCCCCCTTCTCCTTCATTCTGCGGCTGCTGGTCTCCTTCGCCCAGCTGCTGCGAATCTCCTTCACCCTGCTGCTGTAAGCCCACTGGCTCCGTCAGCTCTCCCCTTACTCCCATTTCCCATTGCTGCGTCGCAGTCGGAAGCTGTCCGTCGGTGGGCACATGAGACGAAGGCTCCAACACACCCCCCTCACCGACGAGCAGCGCCGGCGGAGGGGAAGGGGAGGGTGACGCAGGAGGGAGGGAGGGGTTAGGAGGAGGTGGGATAGCAGAAGGGGAAGAGGAAGAGGGAGGAGATGCGGAAGGTGGTGGAGGGGGAGCGGGTGGGGCAAGAGGTGCGACCCGAGGTGACACGGAGGAAGGGAAACAAGTAAATAGCAGTTTATACTAGCTGATAGTTGGTCTGTAGAAAGGTCGCAGTAATGGCGAACGCGGAGGAGGCGAATGTTGACGTCACTGAACTGCACGAGCTAGAGGAGATTCTGCACACGCGTCGTTCTCGCGGAGAGATTAATGACGAGGATTATGAGCTAATGCTGGAAGGGATTCGAGCGAGGTGGCGACGTGACCACCCTTCTCTTCCGGTAGCGGAGAACGCGCAGGCTGGAATTCCGCAAGGTGCGTCAGTGACGGCTAGCGACGATGAAGATGGAGCTAGTGTGGCGAGCGAGCGGCGTTTCGCTCGTGGCGTTCTCAGAGGAAATGTACACGGTAGCACTGCTAGTATGGGTGGCGTTCAGGAGCGTGTGCATCAAGCGGCAGCATCGCGCGAGCGCGACGAGATAGGGCGGCGAAGCGTTGTTGGAGGAGGACATGTAGAGGAGCGCGATAGTGACGTTATGCCCGGCATTATACCGCAAAGCTCTGCGGTAAGAGACGTCGGGATAGCGCCTGACTATGGCTACTTTAAATTCACTCCAGACAAGATCGCCGTGCCTAGGCCGTTAGAAGGGTGTCACGACTAGTCATCCTGGGTAGAATCGATTGAGCCCCAGCTCGAGATAGCTCAGCTCAAACGCTTTATCGACGGCTCCACCCCTACTCCTCCGAAGCACGCGGTAGCACTTCTCTCACAATTCTGAGCTGCTCAGTTACTGACGTTTACGACCATTTCTCGTTGTTGCTCCCCCCAAGTGCAAGTCGCCCTTAAAGCATGTCGCTTGAAGGTAGATGCCGGATTGCAAGCCTGGCAGTTCATCATGCGAACGTACATGGCGAAGGACGATTTGTATCTAGGTCAGTTAGAGCAAGCGCTCACTAACCTCGAGATGGGCGAGCACGAGTCCGCCACGTCTTACTGCAACCGTGCACAGCAGCTTCTTGTAAATCTCAGAATGGCCGGCGTAGACTACTCGCAGGCGTCGTACATTACCCACGTCGTAAAGGGGTTACCGCAGCGGTATATTCTCTTACGTCGTATGTTGAAGCTGCCGCAGGTGCGCGGCGAGTTAGACGACGACACCCTCGCTAGTTATATCATAGAAGAGGAATGTACCTTGGCGGCAGAAGGGCGAAAGGACTTCTTCCCTCCCCACGCAAACCTGACCTTCCCAAAGAGGTTTGGCAAACCACCATTCCTCCCAAAGCAAGATACGCTTCCTGCCCCTTCCCCATCCACTCCTGTGCAACAGCCATCGGCGAAG